ACCTGGAGCAGGAGACTCACTAGCACCCAGAGCAGCAGCCTCACCAGTAGCTAGAGCAGCAGGTCCTATACCTGGGTCAGGCGGGACGCACAGGTGACCTGCACGGTCAGCACTAGTAGGCAATGCATACATGGCAGTGAGAATAGCATCATAGTCAAGAGCATATATATCTACCCTCTGCCTAAGCAACTCCACCCAGTCGGGAAGCTCAGCCTCGTCGCCAAACACGGTACGCCAGGCGTCGCTCAGACGGGCGAAGCAGCGGGACGGTGTATGACTACGTGTCCCACAAGGCTGACCAGTCCGAGTACCAGTGCGAATCACGTAAGAGCAGCGAACAGCACTGAGAGACCCTCCACTCTGAGCGTACCACTCACGAAGCTGGCGAGGCGTGAGAGACACGCGAGAGGGTCGCGGGAGCTGCATCTGGCCGCCACCACGAGTAGAAGCAGCAGGAGTGGTAGTAGGAGTAGCGTCGCCACCCCTACAGCCCCAACCAGCGTACCACTCACGCAGCTGCTGCGGCGTGAGGGACTCACGCCGGCGTCGCTGGGGCTGCATTTGGCTCCGCAAGTAGAAGCAGGAGCAGGACTAGCAGCAGGGAGGCAGGCAGCCAGGCAAGCCAAAAGGCAGGCAGGCAGGCAAGCAGGCGACGCGCAGCGTGCTAGCAGGGCAAGAGCTCACCAGCGGTGGGAAGAGTAGGTTCGGCGACTCAGCGGCTCGGCAGCTCGGCGGCTCGGCGGCTCGGGCGACTCGGGCGGCTCGGCGGCAAGGCGGCTCAGCAGCAACTGCAGCTCAGTAGCTCGGTGACTCGGCGGCTCGGCGGCAGGGCGGCTCGGCAGCAACTGCAGCTCAGCAGCTCAGCGACCCGGCGGCTCGGCGGCAGGGCGGCTCGGCTGTGGGGCGGCTCGGCTGCTGCAGTGGGAGATGAAGGAGGAGGAGAAGCAGGGGAGGCCACACACCTGCCACCCCACCGCAAGCGGCCCCCTCAGGTCGCCTCGACAGGCGACGGGAAAAGGGGGGGTGGGTGGTGGGGGGCCGGTAGGTGCAGCGGCGGGGCCAGCAGGTGCAGTTGCGGGGCCGGTAGAAGGGGACGGCAGGAGCCGTCAGGAGGGGACGGCGGGGCCGTCAGGAAGGGACGGCGGGGCCGTCACGAAGGGACGGCGGGGCCGTCAGGAGGTGACCGGGCCGCGACGGGGGCAGGCGGCGGGGCCGCGTAAGGGCCTGGGCGGGGCCGCGACAGAGCCGTCGGCGGGGCCGCGTGAAAGCCGGGGCGGGGCCGCGTAGAAGCCGGGGCGGGGCCGCGCGAGAGCAGGCGGCGGGGCCGCGAAGGAGCCGGGGCGGGGCCGCGTGAAAGCCGGGGCGGGGCCGCGTAGAAGCCGGGGCGGGGCCGCGCGAGAGCAGGCGGCGGGGCCGCGAAGGAGCCGGGGCGGGGCCGCGTGAGAGCAGGCGGCGGGGCCGCGACAGAGAGGGCGGCGGGGCCGCGTCAGTGAAGGCGGCGGGGCCGCAGGGGAAATGGCGACCCGAGGGGTCGCTAAAAAAAAGATCGCGCCTCGGGGGGCGCTTCGGTGGGCCCAAAAAAAAACGGTCCGTAAAAGGACCCGCTCTATACCATGTGAGAATAAGCGAACAGGAAATGAATGAACTAGCAGTGAAAATGGGTACAAGTAGGAAACCCTAGAATTGTGTACCCCCTATAGGCTAACCCACTGTAGCCTACACAAGCATAACATATATAATGTTTGACAATATCATGTTAATTACCCTGATTTCAGGGTGATTACAGGCTTCTGACTTGGTGGTCCCTGTAAACACAGGTTTTGTATTTTGTGAACTCTGATCCAATCAGACAAGCTACTTAACGGACTCTGAATTCTTGTAACTAGGCTCAGAGTAGTGTACTTGCGGACTCTGTCTATGCAGGGTATGCGTTCCGTGGACCCTGAATGCGAGGGTATTGGGACGAAGTTTCTCTGAAATTTTCTCTCGATAACCTCGCCTTCGGATTGATCGCATCGCAGCACCCCCCATGTGCGGAATCCCCCATCCACCACTTTATCGAAACGAAACTTCTCGGAAATTTCTTCTTAATACACCCACCCACCATCGAGATCGGCCGAATCTGCAATGCCATATATATGTTGCTGTGATTGGTCGAAATGGTTGTGCTCTGACAGCGGCTGTTGTGCCAGGGCCATTTCTCTGTGATTGGGCGAATCTGTTGCTCTGTACGGTACGGCGCGAATGCACTTTGTCAACGCGAATTTGCTACAGTTTGACGCTGGTGCTGTGATGTGACCAGTCAATTCGGGTCCAAATCACCAGTCAGATACAGTGCGCAACCAGAAATCTGAAGAACGAACGGTCGTCCAATTTGATTGGTCATCAAATCCACGCAAGATCTAAATATCCGAACCATACCAAATTTCGATAATGCACAGCGCGTTACTAACTCTGATCCTGACTTCTCAACCCTGAGCAATCAGACTATAAAACTTCCCAACGCTGAGCAATCAGGGTGATGTTTTTCTGAAAAATGTGCACCCATAATGTCAGAATATTATCTTATTGTTCTAGCCTGTAGTGGGGTGCTCTATAGCGAGTACAACCCTTCTAGGGTTTGCTATTTGTATCCTCATTCTTGCTAGGTCAATCCTCTTTCTTTCTTCAAACTTTGTCATGGTATCAGAGCAGGTCGATCCCCTTGGATCGATCCTGTGGGTGGGTTTCCACCTCGCTTCCGCTGCTACCTTTCCTTCCCGCCGTGCGCCCCGAGGCGCGCGGCGGTTTTCCTTCCCGCCGTGCGCCCCGAGGCGCGCGGCGGTTTTCTGCCCGCCGTGCGCCCCGGGGCGCGCGGCGGTTCTTTGCCCGCTGTGCGCCCCGGGGCGCGCGGCGAGCGTCTGCTCTACGCCGCGGCCCCGCCCTACGTCGCGGCCCTGCCCGACCGTCGCGGCCCCACCCTACGTCGCGGCCCTGCCCCTCGTCGCGGCCCCGCCCTGTGTCGCGGCCCCGCCCCTCGAAGCGGCCCTGCCCGACCGTCGCGGCCCCGCCCTACGTTGCGGCCCTGCCCGACCGTCGCGGCCCCGCCCCTCGTCGCGGCCCCGCCCCTCGTCGCGGCCCCGCCCTACGTCGCGGCCCCGCCCTGTGTCGCGGCCCCGCCCCTCGAAGCGGCCCCGCCCTACCTGTCGCGGCCCCGCCCTGACCGTCGCGGCCCCGCCACTCGTTGCGGCCCCGCCCCTTGTCGCGGCTCCGCCCTCCAATCAGGTCCGTGGTGGGCCCTTTCCTCCACACCCCCCCCCCCCCCCCCTCCCTCCCATTTCCCGTCGCCTGTATGGGGCGAGCTGTGGGGTGGCGGGTATGGGGGTGGTCGGTGTGCCTTCCTCCCTTTCTCCTCCTCCTCCTTCGTCTCCCACTGCTGCAGCTGTCGCTGAGGGGGGTGGTTGTGTGGGAGACTGGGTTTAGGGTTTCAGGGGGGTGCGTGGGAGTAGAGCTAGTGGTGTAGCAGTGGGTGTGTATCAGGGGGGTGGGACTGTGTGTGGGAGGATGAGCGGAGGTTGCCAGTTTGTCGTCAGCAGCACCTGTAGTCCGGGGCGCTGTCCCGGTAGCCCAGTCGTAGCCAGCTGTGCCAGCCGCCCGTGGGTCCGTTGCCCGTCCGCCGCTATTTGAGCCGCGGGGCCTGTTACTCCTGTAGTCCGGGCGCTGTCCGGTAGCCGCTGTGCCAGTCTGCCTCCTGTTGCCCGTGTGTCTGCAGCTTCAGCCGTCGCCTCCTGTCTCCTCTCCCCTCACTCTCCCTCCTCCTCCTCACTTGCCCGTTGTGACTACCACTAGCTTTGCTTATAATTGTACACTCTAAACTATTTCTTCTTGAACTTGTGCTCAGAATGTGTGGTGACATTGTGATCCACCCTGAGCTTGTTTTTGCTTTGTCTGCTCTGCTGATTACACCCGACTTTGGCTATGGGGGTGTGTCAGAATATTATCTTATTGTTCTAGCCTGTAGTGGGGTGCTCTATAGCGAGTACAACCCTTCTAGGGTTTGCTATTTGTATCCTCATTCTTGCTAGTTCAATCCTCTTTCTTTCTTCAAACTTTGTCACATAATACAGGGGGAATTTTTTTCCCGGATTCAGGGAGGCCTAATTTGAAACGTCAGCCCTGGTCATACCCCGGATAGAAGTGCATGCCTCGGATAAGCGCCGGCGCTTATAAAAGGATGACGGTGCTTATATCCGGTCCTCGAGTATCCGGTCCTCGATTATAAGCCCACCCCCAAAAAAATATGTCGAAATACAGAAACGCATTTCACATTATTGCGGAAACGAACTACAATGTCGATTTCCCACACTCCGATCTCAGTTTTTGCGCATCTAGTCAGCATGTGTTGTTATTCTGTCAGTATGAGCTGGTAGGGAATCACTCCCTGCCAAGCTGCGCGAGAATCAGATTCGCGACCCTATATGTTCTCGACTCGATTACAATACGCAGAACAAGATCTACAGTGGTGAAAAACAATTAGAAATTATTTTTTTTCATTTTATAAGCGTCGGCGTGTATAAAATTCCTTGATTATAAGCGCACCCCTTAAAAAACAGTGTTTTTTTATACCCCCAGGGACGCTTCTATCCGGGGTATTGCGGTAAGGGCGAAGTCGGTGCGTTCATCCATCACACTGGTGCAGTTCATCCGTCGTGGTACAAAAATATCCAGACCCGTGAGAAGCAGTTTTTAACCATGACGCAACGAGAGTAACGGCACAGTATCAACTGTAAACGAAGCGCTGATGTCGCCCTGAGTTACACAAGGGCTTCAATTGTAGGTGGGCTTTTTTTCCCAGAAATTACAGCGTACACCTCATTGGTAACCTCGCTATCCTAAGCAGAACAACGGTTACAAAAATATGCCAACGAAAAAAAAACTCTCCTAGCGTAGGCACATTGATCTCTCAACCAGAGAAGATTAGCAAATACTCAGGGTTAACCCCTTATCGATGTCATGCTGGCCTACAGCAGTTTACTGTTCTCCTCTAAGAGATCCTCCAGCTCACAGAAAGAGCTCACTGCCAGCCCCGCTCTCTTCTCCACACCGCACACCACCCCTTCCGCACCGCCCTCCAGCTCAATCAGGTCATTCCAAATCGACAGCTCGCCCTGACAGATCCCTTCTGCTGCTGCTGCAAGAGCCACTGCTGCAGGAGTGTCAGCCACATCAGGGGTACCAGTCACAGCAGGCGCAGAAACTGCACCAGGCGCAGCAGCAGCAGCAGCAGCAGCAGCTGTAACCATATCAGAAAGTGAAGGTTGGCAAGCCATGGGTGGCAGTTCTTCTGTCCCTTCTTTTCCTCCACCTTCCTGCCCCACACTAGTCAGGCTTTCCTGTGCACTAGCCAGGCTTTCCTTTGCGCTAAGCAGGCATTCCCTCGCACTAGTGCACGTGCGCTCCAACATTTGCTGCCCGTCGCTGCTCTCCCCTCCCTGGGGACCATCCCTGCCGGGCAGCCCGGAAAAAAAAGAACGGGCAAATTCCAGAGCAGCGGGGGGCAACACGCCTCGGCTCATACGAGGCGCCTTGTGCGGCCTCGTGTGTACAGAGGTGTGCTGGAAGGAGGGTTGGGAGGAGGTCTGAGAGGAAGGCGGGGAGTAGTCGACAGAAGCCGAGGATGCAGCGTTGCTTGGGGAGGCACTGCGGGAAGGGTGGCGCTGAGACAGGTGGTGCTGAGACAGGTGGTTCTGAGACAGGTGGTGCTGAGACTGGTGGTGCTGAGACAGGTGGTGCTGAGACAGGTGGTGCTGAGACAGGTGGTGCTGAGACAGGCTGTGTTGAGACAGGTTGTGCTGAGATGGGTAATGCTGAGATGGGTCGGAGAGAGTGGGTGGTGCTTTGGACGGCCTATTATGGAGGGCTGACTGGAGTGCGGAGAGTGAGGGGAAGGAGGGGAGAGAGTGCGGTGGGCCACGGTTGAGAATGGTGGGAGGGTCTGACGGCACCAGTGGTGTGGCGGGTGTTATGAAAGAAGTGGGTGTGAAGGTAGCAGAAGACTGGAAGTGGGAAGAATGAGAGGGAAATGAAGAGGGAGGGGAGGTGAGCGGGTTGTGAGGAGGAGCCGTGAAGGGGGCGAAGGGGGGAGCATTAGTAGGAGGGACGGTCGAGTGGGCGGATGGCGGAAGGGTGCTAGGCGGGGCGGAATGCAGAACACGGGAGCTCTGAGTGAGACCGAAGGTGAAGGGCGTGCGAGTAGTGGAGCGCCAGGGTGCTCCAGCTGGGAGAGATTGGGCCTCGTAGGGGCGAGAGGTGGACACGTGGTTGGGTGTTACGGAGGGTGCGAGGGAGGGTGAAAAAGAGGGTGTGAAGGAGGTTGAGAGGGAGGGTGCAAGGGTGGATGCGAAGGAGGATGAGAGGGAGGTTGAGAAGGAGAGTGGCCAGTCAAGGGCAGGGAGAGCGCCCAAGGTGCGTGTGTCGATGGTGCTGCAGTGAGCGGCAGCTGGGAGTGAGGGACCGTGGACGAATTGGAACAATTGGGTTGACTTGGAACTGACTCGATCCTGTGTGAACAGTGATGGTAGTTGTTCCTGCTGCTGCTCCTGTTGCTCTTGCTGCTGCTGCTGCTGCTGCTGCTGCTGCTGCTGCTGCTGCTGCTGCTGCTGCTGCTGCTGCTGCTGCTGCTGCTGCTGCTGCTGCTGCTGCTGCTGCTGCTGCTGCTGCTGCTGCTGCTGCTGCTGCTGCTGCTTCTGCTGCTGCTGCAGTTGTTGTTTTTGCTTCAGAAGAGCAACCAAAATCCAGGATGTCGGGATTGTGGACCTGAGCAGAGAAGAACGTGTGAGAACCAGAGCGACCACCAGGATTCAATCAATCCGAGAATGCTGCATTGCGCAAGCACGTAACCCTCAAGACCAAGAGTCGTAGCCTCACCTGCTCTCGCACTGTTGCTGGCAGGTCTGGCTGTCAGCGGCACGCAGAAGCAGCGAGCGCACAGCCGAAGGATCGACAGCCCCAATGTCCGGAAGCTGCCTGGCCGACAGGCCTTCACACGTGCCGGTGTGAGCTGCACCAGTGCCGATGCTGAATCCTGTGTCATCGTCATTGCAAAGCCTCTTCATCCCCCGATCCACAGGGTGTGCGGGGTTTGAATCCATGGTGCGAGCATCCGCGCCATGTGAGTCGGGAAATAGAATGTGGGCCAGCTGGTGAGCTGCCACTGCTGCCATGCTCTGCTCTGCTGCTCCTTCTGCTGCTGCAGGAGGCTCTCTCTCAGTAGTTGTAGCAACAGCAGCAGGTGCTTGGTCAGGTGAAAAATCAGATGGCACCAGGGTGTCTCGGAGACCAGGGGGGAGGAACAGCCGCATGCACTCGACCAATGACAGCCCGCCATATTGCAACGCCAGGTCAGGTCGGCTCCACATGTGCCGCTGTGGCTGTCTGGAAGACGGGGAAACGGCCGAGCCTTGCTGGAACTGTTGCTGAGCGGACAGTGTGACGTCAGCATGCTTCTGTGTAAACTTCCTGCAGACACGGAGAATGTGGGGGAGGGTTATGGGTTAAATATGGCTGTGTGTGACGCACAAAGCAGATCGCACCAATGCGCATCAGAATGACTTGGTGTGACATGACATGACAGTGAGCCTGGTGGAGGCCAATCACTTTTGAGGAAGAGGAAGCAATAACACATCAAGATAATAACACGACTTTGCACCCCCGGGGCTCACTTCTTTTGGAAGAGGAAGCGGTTGCAGCAAATGGCATGGTGGCTTGCATGCATGCAGGGCTCACTTCTTGAGGAAGAGGAAGCGATTACAGCACGCCTTGTTGCCGCGCGCGAGCTGCCTGCCTCGCACCAGCCGCCCCCACCGCCGCGTGCCGTGCCTCAGCGCGTGCCGCAGGAGCACCGCGTCCTCCTGCCATTCAATGGGGAAAAGGGATAGAGAAAAATGATAAGAAAAAAGGAATGGGTGACAGAAGTAACAGATAGAGAATAAGCGACAAGGAGTTAACGACAGAGGGTGGGCGACAGAGGCTACTATGCGACCATTAAGGGATGAAGGGTTGACGCGGGGTAAGCAAGCCGAAGGCATAATAAACGACAGCAGCAGGCTGCATTGTGCTTGATAGGAATGCCGTGAGGTGGCATTCGCGAAACATCTTAAAGCGGCAAACGGCGATGCGCTTTTGACCTAAATTTGAACGATAGAGCACGTAACATTGAAGAGTCCGTACCTCCATCGTCCATGGTTGCGAGGAAGGCGCGAATCGCAGGATAGGAGGCGCATCCGCTACGGGGTAAGCCTGCGAGCCTCCATCTCGCGACTCCCCTTTTTGATCCAGCTGGGTCGCCATCGCTGCGTAAAAAAGTTTCTCGAAAGTGGAGGGAACGCGCCTCGCTTTCGACGCGATTCGGATTTCGCGGAGGTGGAGGGAAAGGGAGTATCACGCTCGAGATATGTGCGATCGCGAGTGCAGTTCAGTCCGGCCCGTGCAGCCACGCGAGAGTGAACGAGGTGAGGTGGGTAAGAATAATACTGATGCAGGAGGGTGGAGCTTTGATATGAAGAATAAGCCCAAATAAATGCAAGACAGTTTCGTGTGGGAGCGGGAGATCGTGCTCACAGTACCCACTAGGATCACCCCTGCGACCTGCGAATGGGGGAGTGGGTGACGGAATACCGCGTAAGGGCGGCGAGGCGACAGAGGCGGGCGAGGATATGTTTTCCTGATGTGGCGGCCGAGAATTTCCGGCTCGAGGACCTGAGAGAGCAGAAGATGCTCAGGAAAAAGCCTAAGCGCGGCGCATGGTTGGCAGAGTGATGCGCTTGCTACCATCTTCCGAATGTTTCCGTATTGCACGTCTCCGTCCGCAACCCCCATACCCTAGAGTACTATTACTGTAGTACCGATAAAACTGGCGCAGTCCGCAACGGATTACTTACAGCCACACAGTTTTGTACAGCCTGGAAACTCCTATGGCACTATTTGGACCGTTCGAACTCATATGTTGGGTTCCGCGGTGGAATCGCGATGCCGATCGCGATTGATATGTACTTACGCAATGAGTTCCAACGATCCAGACTAGCAATTGAATGTAATGATTTGTGCATTGTGTGATGCCAGTTGCTGACGTTGAACGAACAAATGGCCTCTTCAGGTTGTCTCTGGCATGATGCTGCTGCGGCGTAATTTGGAGGTGACGCACCTAGCGTATAAAATAATCGCCAGCTTATTTAACCACGTATGGGTTACTAGGTCAACTCATCACCGTCCATGCACAAAGTAGGCAAAGATACTGAGGGCGTATTCCTAGCTTCGTGTCATCCAAGCTTTGTGTCATCCGAAATTCTGGGATCGAATAGGAAAATTCAAAGCTCAAAACGCGGGTTTCCCGATTGGCTCCCACAATTTCGGATGACACCAACGCGGGATGACACGAAGCTAGGAATACGCCGTGAGGAAGAGCTGGAGGAGCAAGAGACCTTGCTCTCCATAAAGCTGTACGTAGCTAGCTGTGGAAAACTGCAACAGGTGCGGCGCAGAAATTTGAGGTGACTGGACGACTTGAGGCTGGTCCCTAAAGAGTCGGTGGAGAGCGTTGTCCATAAGGGTGGTGGTGGGAGGGAGGAGCCCGTAGAAAAAAGCTGAACTTAGCCGGTACACCCTGTTTCTCGACCCTCTCACCTTGCGCGATTCGCTGCTACAGTGCGGTCAGGTGCCATAAACCGTATGGCTGAAACCTGCGGGCAAAGCCGCACCAGCTGACGGAGTGGTACTGGGGGCAAAATTTTTCTTTATCGCTGTATACCCTTTTCAACCGCTTTGAAAAGCTTGTTTAATGTTCTTTACCATGCAGCATCCTAGCTAACCGCTTTCTTGTGAATGTGCTTGTACCGTCGGTGATAAGACCATTTCAAACGTGGTGACGTTCTACAACCAGTGCATGTTCTGCAACCAGATGCTCTGCTAGCGCGAAACAGGGTGTATTCACTTGAGACGCGTTGTAATCATTTACAGTTTGTTCAGACCCGGTTTTGCAGCTCAGAAAGTCCCGCACTAAATTTATCTGAGAGGCAAAAGGAGTCACCGAACCCCTTCGAAGTCTATGTCGAAAACAATCCCTAAGCGAAACACTCACCCGAAACCCTAATTTCTGGAGTGTTGGCCAGCGACGGACGGACCAGGTTGTTCGTCAAGAATTTACGAAGGTAATGTAAAGTTTTAGGGGGAAGAATTTACATGTATCTGGTTGCTGGATTGCTATCCCTCCTCGTCACTGCCGGGCCGAAGGTTCGGGCGGGGGATGGTGTCAGGCGGGGATGGTGGCCAGTGCCCTAGCACAAAACATCCAACTGCCCTGATGAGGCTGCTCCTCTCGCCGAATATATCTCAGCCGACAAGCGAGTCACTCAGTGGGCTTGGGCCACTTCCAATTCTTAGACTGCGTAAGACCGAGGGCTTGTTTCCACTGGGTACTTGCTTCACCACCAGTGCTTGCTCTCTCCCTTATTAAACCTCATAGCCGAAGAAGTTGACCGCTCCAACTATCTGGGAAGCGAAATGTCATGCAAGGAGGTAATCATATCTACGATAGTTCTGATGCCCTCACGTGGTGGCATCATCTCGACCTGGTGATGCAATCAGCACTAGCGTTTACCCGGAACTTACGAGGTCCCTTCTGACATTTGGGCCATTCCTGCCCGCAATACTCGTCGTGAGTCGTTGGTGACCCACCCTCTGGAGGGAGCCCAACTACGGCCCCAGTGCATTTGCCCTTCCTGGGGGTCAAACTTTGGGTCTCTAGGACGGTACACGGTACACCCAAATGACCTGAAAAGAGATTACGGCTTAGGACGTGGGCCCAAACGACTTTGATCGGCGCGCGATCAGAGGCGATCTAAAACTTCGAGGAAGGCAGGAAGCAGATTTCAGGCAATCAGGGGCAATCAGCTGATCGCGATCAGCTGATCGCGCCAACTCAATCAACCGCCTCAAACAGCCCGATCAGACCCGATCAGACACAATCAGCCCCAATCAGTAATCGGCGACCTGGGCGATGTACGCGAAATGTAACACGCCTCGCCATGAGGTCTCGAAAATCCTTGCGAAAACGCCCAGATCGGCGAGAACTGTGTGTTGGGACATGATGTTGGCGACATTACCACGATACTGAGATTCGTCCGTATCGCCAAAGTTGGGATGCAACTACCAGATAATGGGCCGACATACTTCATGCAAGAGCGCAAAAAATTCGAGGAAAATCATCTCTGATCAGGCAGCGCGAGAAAAACGATCACAAGCAATCCGATCCGACCCGAACCAATCCGATCAGAGCCAATCAAAGTCGACTGGGCCCACGTCGATAGGGGCAAAGAGTCTCCTTGATGAATATTTCCTGTTACAAGTGCAATTAAGTGATCGGCCGAGAATTGCACTATCGAAGCAAGAGGCCAATGAGCGAAGGCATGACCGAAGAATATATAGCGAAACTACAGTGGTAACAGTAATGAACTGTGGTTGTCACGTGACGGGCCTCGGACTGAGGTTTGGGGAAATGTCGAAGCGGAGGCCCGGAGCGCGGGATACCTGCCCAGCCGTGAGGTCGGGGTGCGAGGTGCGAAGGTGGCGGGAGGATTGTCGATGTGAGGGTTGCGAGTGGTAACGGTGCTGACTGTGGTGCTACAGTGCTATACGCGCTGAGCGAGAACGCGAAGTAAGGAAAAGGAATTTTCCTTACACTATCCCCCTCCTTAACGAGGTCCTCCTTACGAAAGTGCGTGTACATCCCTAAAGTTTCAACTGCGCAGATACTCTGTGAGGACGGGGTGGTTCTCGACTCTGTCTAGGGGAACACAGTTGTCTTCGGTGGGTTTACGGTCTTTCTGGCGGATCAGGAACTCGATCTGTCGGGCTCCTCGAGGGTCACGAACTCTGTGGCTCAGAATTTTCTCGGGTGTGATGATTGGTTTAGTCGGCGGTCGTATCATGCTGGCTGGACGATTACGTGGCAGTTGGCTTGTGGACGGGACATAAGGGCGAAGCAGGCTAACGTGGAATGAGGGGCTGACGTACCAGTCAGCGGGGAGGAGGAGGTGGGCGGTGACGGGCGTAATCATGT